TGTATAAGCGGCGTCAGCCCCTGTGGACCAAAAATTGGCTGCCGTATATACACGGCGTCAGCCGCTGTGATGCACTAGGTGACTGCCGTACATACACGGCATCCGTCGTGAAAGGGTTAAGAAATAACGAGTGTTTATTGAGGAAACCGTTTAAAAACTATTTACAGCCGGTGCTCGGACATCTCGCAGCCCACGATTTTCCGAATAGTCACGCGTATCAACAAGGATGAAGTGAACAATATGGATGAAGTCTTTAGAAATCGAATAGGATACTTCTCACTGAATGTGCAAGTACGTTTTCATACATTTTTTTAGTACAACATTATGGTTGAGCAATTATATGATTGCATTCTTCAATTATAAGCCTGGTGGTTATTGGGCCCACAATGGCCAGGCAGTGCGAACTACTGCCAGATTTTCTAGAAGTCTCGTCTCTATGTCGAGACGAAATTGGATGGGATGCTGGTTGGTGACAGGGAATAGCTCCAAGCATTAGCTGCTGCGAGCCATGTGTCCTATCTTCGAGTGCCGAAGTTCGACCCATTAACCCATTGACGTTCTCCTAGGAGCAGGTGCACTGGCCAACGAACAAGTAAGTCCAACTCTCATTCTTTTTGTATTTTTCATAATTTTAGCTACTCTGTAATTTGTAAATTTGTTAGTTATTTCATTGAGTATGTTACATTTGTTTATTGAACGTAAGTAACGACTAATCGCTTTCTTTCCTCTGACATTTAACCAATATGTTAGTTCGTTTTTGCATGCAATATTTCTTTAATCCTACATGTATGTTCTCATCACGAGCGCGGCATACGGGCGAGGCAACGCACGAGGTGGTTGTCGCGCACCTGCCCGCCTTATATATTCGCGCTATGATTGGTCGGGGATTTTTGTTAATAATTCGAGAACTACGCCTCGGACAACTTTTTGACAACAGAAAAAGTTGTTTAAAATCACCTCAAGAACCTCCCATTAAAATATGTACCATCAGTTCTGGGACACTCTGTATAGAAATTACAGTCAATTTTTAGGAGTATTTAATAAACAAGTAGTATAAGGAACAGTAAGTGGTGATGAGTAGGATAAAATCACGATGAGGATAAGATTAAGAGCTTTAACTTTAATTTTATTTACAACTCAAATATTAAATCAATTTCGCCGTTCTTATCAAAACTCTTAATCTTATCCTTATCATGATCTTATCCTACCCATGACCACTTGCTGTTCCTTATACCAATTATTCATTATCACCTTATCTATCTATCTTTCGCTTTTTTATATCACCATGCCTTTATATACCACACTTCTCTTTATTTCCTCTTTTCTGTGTTCGATCTACTTCTATTTCTGTATTATTGTGTCCGTTCTATTTTATGCCTATTCTCTTTCTCTATATCTCTTCCTCTCTCTTACATTTTCTTCTGCATCTTCCTCATTAGCTTCCATCTTTCATTTCCAATGTGACTTCTACATTCATTTCTACATGATTCTATACTATTTCAATATCTCTTTCATGGTTTGCAATTTTCTTAAAATTTTATTCAAACTCTTTCATCCTCTCGATAATTTGTTTTATTTCTGCTTCTCATATATTCCTTAATAGATGTCTCATAGTAAACAATTGTGCATTCTGACTTGCGTAAAGCATTTACTTTCTTGACTTGAAAATCCCATACAGCGAGATTCGACATATTCTTGTCGATTTAATGAGTTAAGTAATGAGGTTGAACATCAGGATACATTTTTCAAATAATTTCTTGATTCCAACGTGAATACAGAATGAGATACATAATCTTACTATCATATAAAAAGAAAGCGTTTGTTTGTATGTTAGCATACACCTGAAAAATGACTGATACATTTATAACGAAATTTCGGCAGTAGCTTCCTTATATACTCCGGAGTGTCATAAGATATATTTGTAAAGCAAACATTATTATGAATAATTACGTGGTGGAAAAAGAATGAAAATGGATTTTTATTTTTGTGTAAACATTTTTTTAATACGCTGAAGTATCCGCACGACTTTTACTCTAAAATATTACATAATCAACTCTTCTAAAATCAATTTTAAAAAATCAACAACTACAGTGAAACCTGGTTTTACGCACTTCTCAAAATTGATAAGTTGTCTCGTTCACGAAGGTGACACATACAAATACCTGGAAGTCAATTTTAAGATTTTTCAATCTAAATTTTTTTAGAATTTAGGGATCATCCATTAAGAGAGTGAAAAGATGTAAAACAACTGAATAGCCTCTACGTAGTGTCACGTCGGCTTAGATCCTAATCAAATTCGTCAACGATATTATATTAATTTCTTACTTTATACTATCACAAGTTATATCTTTTGTTTGTAATTAGTTTCTTGTAAAACTTTTAATTAACACCGCTATCTTAATCGCACGTTGTTGCTTGACCCCAACGTCATTTTTAATAGCAGTGCCCCTTAGTGCTATTAATCTGATATTGGCGCAAGTATGCGATGAACGTAAGTATCATTTGTAACTTTTGTATGCTTTTGGATTTATGGGAAAGGACTCCGTTTATGATCAAATAAATAAATAAATAAGATGTGTACTTTCAATATCTTTCAAGTCTCATGACGTAGCGATACCTAAAAGTGAAATTTTCCATTTCTTAAAACAAAAATCGGAACTCCGATTTAAAATTGCAAACGTCACCGTTGAATAGCGATCTACACTTAATCTCAAGATCAAATTCAATGCTGTCATCACATACCACTTTTTTAACGCAACAACTTTTAGATTTAATATTTTTCTCAAAAATACGTTATTTGGAAATAATTGGAGGGTCAGACGAATTCTAAAAACTTAATAAATAAAGACAGAAAATAACTTTTATTAATGTTCATTTATTACAGAACTGTACTTGTTCATATGAGTTAAATTCCGCTTCATCATTAACGCAGTTTTCAGCCAGATATTAATTAACAATTAAACTGCGGATAATATGCGAAATAAACTATTTGTGGGATCAATTTGACAAAACGTGAGTTCTAATACTGTCTTTTATCTTTTACACATTGCAATGTGCACTCTGCGTTTGATATTCTGTATATTTACTTGTAGTCTTTGTGTCTTATAGTATTTATTTTCCTCATAAGTGCATGAAATAGGCATTCCATTAATAATAAATTTTATTCAGCGAAATAGAGTTGATTCGCTGAATTAGCCACACCCGAATGTGCAGTATTCCAAACCTTCGCTTCAGCAGCAGTCATAAGCTTGTAGTTATAGTTAGAATTGGGCGTCCAGTCGGCTGGTCGTGACAATTTTGGTGTCAGCTTAGGTACGCTATTATGATCTGTGAATTTCGCATCTGCGTTATCACCTAAATGTCTATAATCTTGGGAGCCTTTACCTAAGAAATTCGACTCAGAGACAATATTGGCGTGTGACAAGAATATAAAACTCATACGGAAATTGTCAATATAATTATTGTACACGTGATAATAACCATAGCGCATCAGTCCCGGAGCACGAACCAATACATTGTCGTAACGGTTATGGCAAATAGTTATGCGTGGGTAGCCCAGATATTGCATGTTATTGTCATCAGCAGGGTGACCGAAAATACAGCCGTATCTGTGGTTTTTAAAATAGCAGTGGCTGATAGTCACATAATTCGCTTTCTCACCAACATAAATTAACTTATCCGCACTACCGTCAGCATCACTCCAGTTATGCCCGGGCCAGTAGCAATGATCGACCCAATACCCCGTACCATAGTTCAAATACAATTGAATGTCATCGTTAGCTTTAATTCTTTCGTCATGCCGGAAAACGATATTTTGGAAAATAACATTTCCTGAGGTTTGACTGGCCCGAAGATGCACGTTGTGCAAGATGTTATTACCGTACGACCCGATAATTGATTTATTCGAGCCAAAGGTAACCTTCGTCAGAGTATTAGCAAGCAAGTTCCTATTAATAACTACAACTTTCTTATCTGAACCCGAAACAGCATTTCTAAGTTCATCAATGGTGGAAACGAAGACGACAGGGCCTGACGTACCACCGGTAACGCGTGCCGCTTTAGCAAAACCTAATATTCCCTTCACGCCTGTATTTGGATAAGACGAAGTGGCTTTTTCTTTACTATCAACAAATACCTCCAGGTTGTTGAAGTACGTATTCTCTCCATGATAATATTGAGGAAGTGTTCTAACGTTCGTATGGTTGAGATTTAAGCCCTCACAGCTGGTGTAAAATAACACTATGATCAAGTAAACGATCATGTTTGTATGAACGTGAAGAACGCAGTTTATTCAACGCTCAGTAAACACTCGAGAGACACGTATAGAAAAGATAAAGATATCAGTTTGTAGACACTATTAAACACCTGGAAAAAGATAGATTATCAGTAATACTATTTTGCAGATAGTTTTAAGAATGTGAATATTAAGAAAATGAACTTACGTTATAATATTGTTGACACTTCACGTTTTCCGGTAGAAATAGTTGCACTAGTGAAGTGGAGGGCCCATGGGGCGCTGAACTTTGAAATTGTGAGTTATACGATAGAATAAAGGACAATTGTACTGTTTGTAAATCAATGAAAATGAAGTTCAATTGACTGTTCTCTGTGCTAGACAATTGCGGAGTGCCGTCGATGCACTCTTACTGACCCATCCTTTGGCGGTACGCTCTTCTCTTGACCGTTATCGATCCAATTACGGATTGATTTCCACTGTATGGATCCGCGTTTCTTCTCTCACAATTACGGTTCTCCGTTTGTGTTTGGAGATGGTAATACCTAACTTCCAATTAGCCGTGGAAGTATCCTACTATGTTGAGTACCAAGGTTAATATGCTCATGATGCGGATACGTAATACAAGTACAGTTTTCCCCTCCACCACCGAATGTTGCTTGATTTTCCTCCTGTCCAGTGCTTACGAAATATTATATTTTCACTTGTGTTATCAGATGACATGGTAGAATTACAGATAAATCTTCACGGTGTTATAGATTGTAGGATCGTTTACTAAACTATGGGTGTTGGTTACTTGTACGATTTCGAAAAACTAATTAGAAAAATTCAATTAAAATCGATTTTTAATTTGTAATTTGAACAATATGTATTTGAATTTTAGCACTAAATCTTTTAAATTAAACGATAATGAATTATTACTATTTAGATATAAATTTCGAACAGATTTTGGAATACGTTTATTCGCGATTAATGCTGAGTGACGAATGTCTCATCTAGGGAATGAACTTTCTTCTTCTAACAAAAAACGTTATTTATTATTTTACATACCTGAATTGTAAACGGGTTGGTATATCATATAATNTGCTCGAGCACTAGCAAATGGTGAGCGGTGAAAGCATGTGCTTAAGCTTGATCTAATAATTACTATTATACTTCTTCTGTGCTCAGTTAAATCTTTTTTAAATAAATCATTTAATTTCATTATATATATTATTATTCTATAACCTGCTCCAATAGGTTATGGGCCCAGTTTAATCGATCTATGTGATATAGACCGGAAGGAAAGAAACGTGAGCACATGGCGCAGTTAATAGTTAAGAGTGAAAATTGGTACCGGTACGTGAGTGATTTGTGTAGTCCGAGATGGTTAAGGAAATCTTAGCCCGAAATATAAAGAAATTCGATGTAACGAATTTCCAGGGCTGGAAGTTCGAAATGAACATGTTATTTGCCGCAAACGAGTTGGACGATGTTACAGACGGATCGCGAGTAAAGCCGGCGAACCGTGCATCGCCTGAAGCGAAGGCATGAGCACGCCATAATACCCATGCAGGATATCTATTAAATTAACATCCACATTAGAACAACCCCAACTTAAACCGTTGTTAGGCTGTGCATCGGCAAACGAAATGTGGGATATTTTGTGCAGAATTCACAAGCAGAAATCTGCAAAAAACAAACTTCTCCAAGTGCAAAAATTCCATGAATATTGCATGTCGCCGAGTGATTCGGTGGTGCAACATACATCAAAAATTAAAAATATGGTTACTCAATGCGAAGAGATAGGAGAGCATGTCTCGGAAATAATGATAATCGCGAAGATTTTAGGAAGCTTGTCGTCGAAATATAATGCGCTTCAGACGGCATGGGATAGCGTTGCGCCGGAACGCCAAACAATTGACCATCTGGAAGAGCGATTAATTCGCGAAGGAATGAGGCTCAACTCGCATGAAGAAAGTGAGTACAGTGCTTCTGTAGCAACAAAGCGTCAAGACAAAAATCAGCACAAAAAGAAGAAGAAGACGAAAAAGGACAGAAGAGCAGTGGAGTGCTATAAATGTCATGAATATGGACACTTCGCATATGAATGTCCTATAAAATTAAGTAAGAAAAATGGTGATAGTGAACATTCTCGAAATTGCGTGTTCGTAGTAGAAAAGTCGCGTGAAGAAGCCGTGTCGGTAAAAACGAGATCGTCAAGTAACAGTGAGTTGCCTAATCTTACGTCACCGAGGAGAGATTACTAAAGAGTGGCAGCACCGAGGAGAGATTACTAAAGAGTGGCAACGCCTGTGTTAACGCGCGGCCC